GTTATTAGTATTGGTGAGCTACATATACTGCCAACCATGCTTAAGAACGAGGAGGTGAAGAATTGGGAAAACAAGCAAGAGGTCAGCTCAGTAGAGACGGATATAAAGGTCAAGATGGCTCAGTTACGTACAGTGACCCAGTCTGACCCTCCAAGTTGGGTAAGTGTTTTATTAAATCATCTATTCCTGATTAACAATGCATAATAAAAAGGGACTGGACCGGATCGACCAACGGAATCTGCCACTTGACAATAAATATAGCTATCCCGCAAGTGCAGGAGATGGCGTGACAGCGTATATTATTGATACGTAAGTACCTGATTAGTTGCTATATTCCCCCTACTAATGCACTTTAAAGCGGAATCGATACAACCAATCCTGATTTTGGTGGCCGTGCAAGTTGGGGCACTACTACAATTAATGGCGCACCAAACGCCGATGACAATGGACATGGAACATTTGTCAGCGGTATTGTTGGTGGCAAAACGTATGGCGTGGCAAAAAAAGTTAACCTTGTTGCCGTCAAGGCAAGTAATGATACATTTAAAAACTAATTTATTTACAATTGTACTGTTACAGTCGCTAGACAGTCAAGGAGAAGGCTATCTTAGCAATATCCTTAGAGGTATGGAGTGGACATTTAACAACTACCAGAGCCAGCCGAATAAGCGTGCTATTGTCAAGTAAGCAAAACGAGCCACACCGCTCTGCATCGACTTATCACGCTCTTTAGTATGTCGTTAGGCCTTGTTAAAAGCAAAACAATGAACTCTGCAGTGGCTGAACTAACCAAGGCCGGCATGTTGGTGGTTGTATGTGTTATCCATTTCTATATGCCCACCACTAACCACATGTATATACTCATGTATTATCCACTAGGTTGCTGCCGGCAATGGCGACGAGCGTGGCAAGGCAATGGATGCATGCAAGTTTTCACCATCATCAGCACCAGAAGCACTGACGGTGGGAGCCACTGATCGTAACGACGGAGTAACACCATGGTCAAATTACGGCGAATGTGTCGATATTTTAGGACCAGGCGAGCGTGTACGCAGCTTGGATTATAAAAATCCAAGTGGTTCCACCGAAGACTCGGGTACTAGCTTCTCCGCCCCTTATGCTACCGGTGTAGGCGCTTTAGCCATTAGTGCCAACAAAAATACAACATTGCCTGAAGATCTAAAGAAGCTGATTATTGGCGTTTCTACAAAAAATGTTATCAAGGGGGATTTACACAAAACGCCTAATCGACTTGTGAACAACGCGATCGACAGTATACCTCTGGCATTAATATCCTCCTCTGGTGAAAATAAGAACCATGCAAGCTGGAGCATAGCTGGCGCTGTTATATTCCTATCCGTGTGGATGTGGATGTAATAATAATGCGTATTATTCAAATATTTTTCGCAACCTGATGTTTATTGTGTATGAATATGTACATGTGTATAAGTGCGTACATGATTGTGTGGCGTGTGTCAAAAAGGTGCCACGTTTGTTTCCAAAGCACGCATCACTTAACAATAAATAAAATAGGCAATAATGGATCCCAGAGTGATTAATTGCGACTCTTGGCACTAGTACAAAAATCACCATTTCCAAAATAAAATGCAAATCTCTATCTCTATCGCCGCCATATCTCACCATCGTTTCCTCAACGTCATTTTTTCAGTCCTATAGCGTTTCATCGCTTATTCGCTCTTGCATAAAACTAACAGTGCTTCAAGCTCCATACCAACTTATCTGCGTCACTTGTTTGCGCTGCTACTTGCTTGAATGCCTACTTAGCAATAACTATACTGCATTTTCATTAGCATATCGAACTCAATAACATACTCAACTTCTTTTCCACTGACCAGTACCAGAGTCTAGCAACCTATCTACTTGACAATAGGAACTGGTTTATCCGTTGACTTTGCAGTACAGGTAGCATAGCATCATTCTTTGTGAATACCTTTGCACCTGTATAACATGCGACTATCTGTCCTATTTTGCAGCGCGCTGGTGCTGCTAGCAAATTTAGGCGCTGTATCGCCGAAGAGGAACAAGTCCCTGCACTGCCTGGCCCATCAGCTGCTGAGATGAAAGAGGCGATACTCGATCAAATTATTGTTTTTGCCAAACAGCCTAGCTCAGAAGCATTGAGTGCACTGGGCCAGCTTGCACTACAGTCACTTGAAAAGCTCGCAAATATGTATATGATTAGTGGTCAATTTGATGATGCCGTAATAAAGCCGCTTCAAGCTGCTGGCATCATCTCATATACAGAGCCCAACCGACTTGTACGTGCCTCAAATCTCACCATGTCAACACAGAACTCACCTGCAAACTGGGCTTTGGAACGTATAGACAAGCGGTATTTGCCACTTAGCAATAGTTTTCACTATCCACCAACTGCTGGCAAGAACGTTACCGTCTATATCCTAGACACAGGCGTCAATACAAATCATTATGATTTGGGTGGTCGTGCGCGATTTGGCGTTGATTTTATTAACAACAATCAAACAAAAACAGATGATCATGGGCATGGTACTTTTGTTGCAGGCCTAATTGGCGGTGGCAAGTACGGAGTTGCCAAGTCATGTTCAATGGTTTCTGTAAAGGTACTGGACTCAAATGGAGTAGCACCTACAAATATCATTATCCGTGGCATTCAATATGTGATCAGTCAGCACCAAAAGGATCCAAACAACATGAGTATTCTCAAGTAAGTACCGCTAATAAATAGATTATAGTCCAGCATGCTGGCAATGATTTACTTATTCTAGTTCACTCATACTAATTACAGTCATACTATTTAGTCTATCATTGGATTCACCCGTATCTCGTACACTAAATAGCGCTATTATACAGGCCACTCGCGCGAACATTACCGTTGTGGTAGCAGCAGGTAATGGTGACGAACAAGGTAATCCCCAAAATGCTTGTAATTATTCTCCAGCATCTGCTTCAAATAACTCGGCCGTCATAACGGTTGGCGCGACCGATAAGAGTGATAATCAAGCCAGCTTTTCAAACTACGGTCCATGCGTTTCATTGTTTGCGCCTGGCGTCAATCTTGTGTCGATATCGAACAAAAATCCCACAGGAATACTTACACTAAGTGGCACATCGTTTGCTGCCCCGCTGGTCTCCGGGTTTGCCGCGTTACTTATGGGCGATAGCGACACACCATTATTACCTGCAGATGTTAAAGCGCAGATTATCAACTATACTACACCGAATATTATTAGAAAGCTACAAGCAAACACGCCCAATTCTATGTTATTTGGTAACTTGGTTGCCGCCAAAGCAGGCTTGGATTCATCGGCAGCAAGTCCATCCTTTTTACGACAGCCTTTGTCAGCTACAGGCGCGCTTGTCATTGCGTCGTTTGCCACACTTTTACTTCTTTAGTTGTTTATTGTGCTCCATTACCTCTGTCATTCCTCATTGCATATACCTTCCCAATAACAAAATTTGTTTAGCATTGAATTAATACTATTTGGAAATCAAATGACTAATTTTGATAACATTTGTCTAACTGAGCTAGATGCTCGTTCTATTGAAGATGGATCAGGTGGTGGGTTTTATTATGATCACATCATCACATTATATTGCTATTTGATGGCCAAATGACTGTATTGATTATTTATACATTTAAATTAAGCATTTGTTTTATTGAACATAACGATGGGTGGTGAGTGACGTCAGCCATTAAAATACCTATATTTTAGATTTATTATTCAATATGCATATATCCACCATTTACTTACATTATTCCCCTTCTATTTTACACTACTATCTACTACTCTATAGTATACTAAATACACTATATTACTTGTATGTTCCAGTACACTTTGCTCATTCCTCTCATCGCAGTGTATATATACCATAGTGTCAACACCACTCATCATGCTCTTTCCATTGTATATCTATTTTATTCTATATCATTTATGCTCGTATAGCCTTGCTCTATTCAAAACTGTTTTTTGTTATTACCTTTATTGTTTACAAGCTTTAGCTTGGTTCTTTCACTCATTCATGCCTATATGCACACTATAACTTTAGCATTGATAATCGCACACTTTCCCCTGCACATTCATTCTGTTATATATTGTCTCACTATACACTAGCTACGCACTACTTAGCTTTACTAGCACCAGTGCGATAATAGTGGCAGTAGTTGTACTCATTGCTATATAGCATAGACTATATGCGCCATATTCCTTTCTTCTATTATTTTACTCACTACATTCTTTCTTTCTATTTCTTATTTATTACAATCTATATATACCTATAACAGTAAGTACACCCACTATATGCACGCCACGCTTGAGTCTGCCTTTTCTTTCTTTCATACCATTATGCTCGTTTGTTCGCTTTGTTGCTATTGTCCCAGTGAATAGTATTTCATCGGCTATAGTATACACACTATATGCACTTTTATTTTTGCTTATGTTTATCGCCAAATACGCAGTATTGCTTTGCCAATTGCATTGCTATTGAATGACAGACTGTGCATATGTATATAATATATGCATATATTCCTTTTACTATTGAATAGTATTTATAGTCTATAGTTGTATATAGATTGCACCACGCTACTCATCTATGCTTTTGTTGCTACTCATTGGCTTATGACACAAGTGAATTATTGAATTGTGTTAATAGTATATTATGCATAATAGTAGTAACTAAACCAGTATATTACATGCATACACTATTGCTAGCGTTGTATATATAATTGTATTTATTATTGTGCGTATGCGTTTGATTATGTGTATGGCGCAATAGTAGATGCGTGTGTATGTATTTGTAGAATGGTCACTGCAATTGCTGTAAGCTTTTACACAAACTAGAAATTATGAATAGGTGCAAAAAAATGCCTCCACTTCAACTACGTTCATTGCGCCTAGAAAGCACCGGATCCCGTCCGATCTCCGAAGTTAAGTTAGGCCGCGCTTCTGTAGTACTGCGGTGGGGGACCACGCGGGAATGAGAAGTAATGTAGTTCCAAGCTATCTCTGTTAGTATAGTGGCAAGTATACCCGCCTGTCACGCGGGAGACCGGGGTTCAATTCCCCGACAGAGAGCTCTTTTTGCGCCGTAGCGCTTTACTTTTTGCACCTTGCGATGGTTATTATTTTGCTTAAGCTGCAGCGGGAAGATCGCGCGCGATTTTACCGAAAACTACAGGTGCGTATGTGCATTTTTGTTCCAGTGTCGGACTGTATACACTGAACTATAGTTATTTATATTCATTCCATTTTAACCAAGTCATTAAAGATTTAAAGGTATGTTTAATTGAACTAGGAATACAGTTATTATACTATAATTGGTATTAAATAGATTACCTATTAACATTATTATGCCGTGATATGATAATCATTTACGAATTGATCCATATAAATTATACGGTTGGTTTAATGTTTTTTGCTTATATTTTTGTTAAATAAACAGCCAATAAGATTATATAAGCATTGATGCTAAAGATATAGTATTTTATTTGTATATGACTAAATAAATTATGTTAAAATCTGAATACATATAACTAACAACAAATAGGTGGTTTTTAATGGAAAAGCGTGTTTATTAAAATAGATAATATTATAAATAAAGCGAATATACAAAATATATTGTATAAATAGTAATAAAGCTATAATATAGATTATTGAATAAGAGTAATAATTTGACCTTTATAATCAATACAATTAAAAGTGGATAACAGCATTTATCAATAATAATTGACTGCTAGACTATACAGTATATACAGTAGAATGAGTTTATAACAAAAAAGCATGAGCAATAGTACGTAAAGTATAAAATACATGGCTCAATAAATACAATAAATAAAGTGTGTTGAAGCATATGGTGCATATAATATATTTAGTATATTGTAGAGTAATATACAGTAACAATTACATGAGTGGATAGAAGATATATGAGCACAAGTTAATGATGGTGCTGATGATTTGGTTGTTAATAATATTCACCACCAAGTTTCATGTTTGATAGAACGAACATCTAGTTCAATTGAGTAGATATTATTAAAACAATCACTTGGCACTCAAATCATATGAAATGGACAATAGACTATTAAAGCAACATGTGTTTTAGTTTAAAATGATATACAATAGAACTGGGCATATTATTACTATTTCAACAGCTTAGGAATAGCAAACAGGCTGGAAAAACAATATGCACTTTTAATAAATATGGTATACACTATCGTATACCTAAATTGTCGTAATGATATTATATTGCATCAATCTAATGGTAAATAAACTGCAACGGTTGCTTTAATTCAAATCAACAAGCTACAATTGCATTAAAGCAAACGTAAAAAAATGTTTATTGATTAATAAAAGTGTGTACTGGTTATGCTAATTGCATATGGTAACCGAATATGCTAAACGCTTGTTTTGCGCATATTCAATCAAATGATATAACTGGATGTTTAAAATATTGAGTAATTTTAATAATTATGACCGTAAAGACGATCACGATAACTGTGATGGGAACTAGTCATATTTGATCTAATTTTAATTACTTAATATGGTAATTGCATTAATTATATTTTATTGATGTGCTATTTGGTGGCTGTAATAATCTGGTATTTGTTGCGGTGACACAGGTAAATACCCCCTCGCGCTCCTCTTCTACCGCCTTTTTTTCTCCTGACTACCCATTTCCTTCGCTCTGATTCACTATTCTATTTTACCACGCTACCTATCTACACAAAACGAACCATTTACTAGTCCAGAACACGAATATCTAAACATATCTTAATGTGGTCGATCAGATTTTCACGGCATTACGACCAACCAATACTACTACCAATTTGTTTTTTACTGATATTATGTAGCTGCTTGTTCGCCGGTGTTTACGGCCAAGAAGCTGTAAAACAAAGTGCCAAAAGTAAGCTGATTGTATTCAAACAACGGCCTGATCCAAGTATACTTGAGCAGCATGGAATACAGTTGCTATCATTAGGAAATATGTATTATGCGGCTGGAGAGTTTGCCGATAATGTCATGGAGCAATTAAATCAGCTTGGCATAATAGACTGGTCCGAAGACAACAACTTTATCAAACTAGATGTCGGCCCGCCCGCCGTTCAGCTCAACGTATCCAGCTGGGGACTTGACCGTATTGACCAGCATAAACTTCCGTTGGACGGTGTCTATAACTACCCGTCTTCTGGCGGCAAAGGCGTATATGTATTCATTATGGATACAGGTGTGAATGTAGATCATGTTGATTTTGGTGGTCGGGCAGTGAATGGCGCTATTCTAGGCGGTTCGGCAGGAAAAAGTCCCACCGATGATCAGGGACATGGTACATTTGTTGCAGGAGTCATAGGCGGAAGCCATTACGGCGTAGCAAAAAATGCAACGCTTATTTCTGTCAAGATATTGAACAAAAGAGGCATTGGCACTTCTAGTGATGTTATAGCAGGCCTAGCCTGGATATTAGAACAACACTTGGCTTCAAAAGAAAAAATGTCGATTATAAAGTGTGTTTTATTAATTAGTAGTAGAATCAAATTGCTAACTTGTAAATTAGTCTATCATTAGGGGCAGATTTTAATCGGTCTATTAATCGAGCTGTTGAACAGATTATTCAACGGGGTATTGCTGTTGTGGTAAGTGGCTGCCTAATGATCAATCAATCAATTGACACTTACGTTGTTCTAGGTGGCGGCCGGTAATGGAGATGAAAATCGTGTTCCACAAGATGCGTGTAATTTCTCGCCATCCTCTTCACCGCAAGTCATTACCGTCGGCGCTACTTCAAAAACCGATACAGTAGCCTCCTTTTCAAATTATGGTAAATGTGTTACAATTTTTGCGCCAGGTGTATCCATTACTTCCTTATCGTCTACCGATCCTGCTGGTGTTGTCACTATGAGCGGAACATCGTTTGCAGCACCCTTTGTTACTGGAGTTGTGGCCTTATTGCTAGGAGAGGCAGGACCTCTTCCACCCGCTGAGATCAAACGTCGTCTGGTACTTGGTTCTACACAGGGCTCGATAAGCGGATTAAGAAAGGGGGATGGCACACCTAATTTATTACTCTACAACAATATCGACACTTCGCCGTATAAAGGAAAATCCAACGGAGGATCCAAACTATTCGATTACACTTGTTTGTCGACACTATTTGCATGTTTGTGGCTTGCTACTGCCATAGAACTATAACATATTTATATATGTATAACCAACGTCAGTAGCGTTTTTTATTTTATACCAATGATCTATAACGGGATTAATCAAAAGCCACTTGCTACAAAGATTTTTATTTTATATGCTTGATTAACCATTATGTCATTGTTATGCTGAATTTTATCTATCACGTCAACCAATTACTAATAGTTACGTAGTAATTATGATAGAGTGGATATAAATAGTTTGCAAACTCTTTTAATGAATATTATTTACATCGATTCACATATTGTGGCTACTATCAAAGTGTTTAATCGATCATTATTATCAATAACACTGTAGTGAAACAGAGTGTAGCTAAATGGTTTATTGGTAAAAATCTAACAATACTTTTATTTAGTTTAAACACAAGCTATTTCCGAACTATTAGCAATATTGGTATTTAATTCTATCAATGAATATATTGCTTGCATTTAAAGGTAGCAAGTAATGTTTTGGTTATTGATAATTTGTATGGGTGGTCAAACTGGTAGGCAGTAAACTAGTATTGGTAACTTGGCATTGGCCATTTAATGTATAAATGTCGTATTTGTAAGCAAGTACTGTAAATTATTACTTAATTTTAGCAACAAATTGTAGAATATATGGCTATAAAATATGTAATATTATTAAGCCATAGTAACACTGAATAACATTGTATTATTATTACAGCATATAAATTGTTGTATTTACAAATTAGATGACGTTGATCGTATTGCCATGTCCATGCATTCAATTGTAATTATTTTTAGCTATTTATTAGCAAGAATTCCAAGGACATGACCTCAAATAGCATGGCTGTGTTACCAATATAGCCATAAGTTGCTTCAATTGTGCGCAGAGTCATCCTTTGCATTTCCAGTTTACGTATGAGTCAGTCAATAACGAAGCGCGTTGATTCGCACACCAGCTCTCTACACTATCTGTTCTTTCAACTCACACGCACACTTGGTATAGCTTATTGTAGCACTCCGCTTCACACCGCAACCAGTCTTTGCTCTCTTACACACCGCTGATTGTTCAAACGAATTCTTTAATTCAGCATTCATACTCCTTATTGTTCATTTGTAGTTTAACATTGATCCTGGGCCGACATCATGTTCCCTGGTGCTCAGTATCATGCCACGTATGGCAAACCGTCCAATCAGCCAGCGGGAGGTGGCTACCCACCGCCACCGATGGGATATCCTGGCCAGCCTTCTCCTATGAACAGTGGAGGTGGCTATCCACCACCACAGCAGCAAATGCCGGGTTCTGGCGGCTATCCACCGCCACAGTCGATGCCTGGATCTAACACATATCCGCCACCACCGACTCAAATGCCTGGAGGAGGACCACCACCGCCTTATGCACCACCACACCAAATGCCTGGTGCAAATAACATGTATCCACCACCACCTAATAATGGTGGCTATCCACCAACTACTAGTCCACCAGGTGGTATGTATCCACCGCCAGGCGGTAATGGCTATCCGCCACCTAATGGGCCACCAGGTGGTAATGCATATCCACCACCTAATGGACCACCAGGCGGTAATGCATATCCGCCGCCTAATGGACCACCAGGTGGTATGTATCCACCACCAGGCGGTAATGCATATCCGCCACCTAATAGTCCACCAGGAGGTAATGCTTATCCACCGCCACCAGGCGGTAATGGTTATCTGCCACCACCGCCACCTAGTGGAGGATATCCGGGCCAGGTTGGAGGAGGCAATAGGCCAGGTGCAGGTAATCAAGGCTATGGACCACCACCACCACAGCAGCAATATCAGCAGCCACCGCCACAGCAGTATCAGCAGCAGTATGGCAATGTTCAAGTATCCAATTGTACTGGCCGGCGTAGAGCATTGCTCATTGGTATTAACTACGTAGGACAGGATGGAGAG